CCCCAAAACCCCAAAACCCCAAAACCCCAAAACCCCAGCTAATTTATTACAAATTGAAATTAATTCATGGAGAGAGTAAGTCGTTGCAACCTTTTATGGAAATTTTAGCCATGCAATGTCTCTTAATGGTCTAGAAGACTGAGAAAGCACTCCACAGCATTGATTTTTCAAAAACTATCAATTTGTTTGAGCAAGAAAAACTGAAGGTCAATATGAATGTTTTCACGAAGAATAGGATGAAGTATGATGTTAATTATAATAAGCGAAGATTTGGGAAACCTGAGGATGATAAAAAGTGGAGGTCACAATCTATCAATGTTTCAAGACAAAATAAGCACCTTTCATCCCCACTAAAACTCATTGCTCCAAATTTACACAGAGTTTCTGTAAACCAACACCGAAAATAAAAAGGCCAAGAAAGTTCATACAATTCAAAACTTACAAAATCCAACTTCTAGTAACCAAAATCCCTCTCTCAAAAAACCAATAGACACAGAATTCAAAAACAAAGCCAATGAATCCATATCCTATCTCTGCAGAAAACGGCTTCTTGAATTTGACCCCAAAATATTCATCAAAGATTCCAAAATTAAAGCAATTGATGCAAAATTAGAGATAGATAAAATAAAATAAGAAAATAGAAGATTTAAGAAGAAATAAATCAAATAATGGAATAAAGAGGTCTGAGATTATTGAGAGTCAATTTAGGATGAGTCAGCAACTGAAGGATAGATATAGGGATATTATTAGGATTAAGGTAGGGATGATAGAGGTTTGGAGATAGTATTTTGGCTTGGTTTTGAATTTTGTATGAAATCTGGGGTCTTAGGTTTTGGGGAGAGGTCTGGAAGTTGTTTTTGGATGGATTTTGGAAGATTGGTATTTGATGAAAATTTTGGTTTATAGGATAATAAATTACTTGAAGAATCTCTAAATGATATGGAGGACTATGAATATGACATCTCACCCACTCCTAGCCCTCGTAAACCCTCTAAGCATCACTCTCTCACAAAAGCCAAGACCTTCACTCACAATTACTCCAAAATCAGGCCAATAATTAAATAAAACTCTGGCTAACTTTCACATTAACGATTCTCTAGTCAAGGCCAAAGAGGGGAGATCCAAGATCATTATAAAGTTAGAGAAATATATCATTAAAGACTCGCAAAGGAACCATAAGTTTGCAGATCCTTTTGTGAAGGAAGAATCTCTTCCTGACTCTTTTAGTCAATACAAGTATAACAAGCATATCGGCCAAAAGGAAGTGTACACACCCATAGGAGTAAATCCTATCTCAGAGGGCTTTGCTCGTACTATAAAGCCTCGTAGAGCAACACCAGGGCTAGTTTCCTCCCTATTCAGGCGTTCTAAACATCCCATTCACTAATATTTATATTCAACTTTTACTTGAAGTATAGGGGTTTTGGGGTTTTGGGGTTTTGGGG